TTTGTGATGAATATTTTCTGCACTTCCCGTGGACCAACAATCCACGTGGTGTGCGGGGATCTCTCCTTTTTATTATAGTTACTTTGCTTTTGTGTTGCTGTGTGCGCTGCACCTCCTCTTGTGTGCGTACCCTCCGTGAGGGGTGCCGACACGACGGACCGCTCTCGCCGTGTGTACGTGCGGTGGAGCCTTGTGTGCCGCTCCTGTTTGCATCTCCCTCTTCCATCTGTGTGTTGCGGCAGGGCTGTGTGTGTGTGTGTGTGTGTGCCTGTTGCCGTGGATTGGAGTGTGTGTCGTGCGTGGTGTGCGGCGTACGGTGCATGCCTGGATGCTGCCCTCTCCTCATGTGGTGTGCCCTCTGTGTGTGTCTGCCGCACCTCTCTTCTCCCCTGTTGCTCTCCATTTCCCTCACTGTGCAGATCAGCTCCACACCACTGAACGACCACACTCACGATGACGACGTGCCGTCTGCTGTGCGTCTTGTTGGTGCTCGCCCTGTGCTGCTGCCCGTCCGTGTGCGTGACAACGAGTGAAGTTGAAGTTGAACTTACTACCTCCGTTAAGGACTCCAGTCCACAAAATGAATTAGGTGTGACGGGCGGTAAGCACAGGGGAACAGATGCGTACCCAGAACTGAGGAACAGAACTTCAGAGGATGAAGGTGAGAAAGATGTGAAAAAAACACAAGATCTGCCAACCCCTGAGACGTCCACTAGCCACGGTGCATCAGGTGCGTCTGCCCAAGCAGCGTCAAAAGGTGAGGGCGTTCCGGCACGGGCACCAACTAAGACGACTACAACAAAGGCACCAACGACAACAACAACAACGACCACCACCACTGCGCCGGAGGCACCAAGTAGTACAACCACATAGACGCCAACCACGAAGACCACCCGCACGCCGTCACGTCTTCGCGAAATCGACGGCAGCTTCAGCAGCTCTGCGTGGGTGTGTGCCCCGCTGCTGCTTGCCGTATACGCGCTGGCGTACACCGCTGTGGGCTGAGGAGGGAGCGTGGGCTGTGCGTGCCAGCACTCAACCGCGGGGATTCGTGCGCGTGTATTGTGGTCCGATGTACAAAATATGAGTAATCATGATGATCTTTTGTGCTTTGTTTGCTTCCGCTGCCCTGCTGTGTGCTCCGCGCTGCTGCCCACATCCGTCACGTTGAACGCGTCCCAGACACGCTCATATGCATACGCACTGGAGCCTTGGGTTTGGTTTTTAAACTTTTACATTGTTTTACTCTTTTTATTGCTTTTTTGTTTTTGACTTGCAGGACGGTGTGAGCGTTTTGCGGTCGCACTGATTCCACCTGTTTATTGTGTGTGCGCAGCTGCGATACTGCCATTTGTTACTGTGCGTTGCTGCCTGAGTTGTTTCTTTCAGTGCTTTTGCGCTTTGTTGACGAGGAGTTATTTTTTGCTGAAGGCTACACGCAAGTGACAGGAGTGATGGCGATGATGATGACTGGCCGTGTGCTGCTGGTGTGTGCCCTCTGCGTGCTGTGGTGCGGTGCTGCGGTGGCGGTGCCGGCAGCCGATGTATCTGTCGGTGGCGATGGCAGTGCGGGTGAGTATTTGCTGTTGCAGTGGCGTACGCGGCTGCGGACGGAATGCGCGGAGAAGGTTGGGAGGAGGACAGGAGGCCGTGCGAATGCGTCCGCCGTCGAGGAATGCGTGCGTCGGGTGATGGAGAGTTTGCATGCTGTTGTGGATGGCCGCAGCCGTTGGAAGCGTCAACTTTCCGCCGTTGCTGCTGCCGCTGCTGCTGCTCCTGTTTCTCCTCCTGCTGCTCCTGCTGAAGGTGGTGGAAAAGAGAATCCCAACACGGGCAAAGGTGACAAGAAAAAGATTAACGTGCTTCTGCCACTCGAAAAAAAAAATGAAACACTGGCGACTTCAGGAAAAGCATCTACGGATAAACCAACAGCAGTGGCAAGTGAACAGACGTCACTGAATCCTGCACCTGCTATTGTGCCGCCTACAAGAGAAACTTCGGATCAAGGAAAACACAATGGTGAAAAGAGGAAGGAAGAAGAAGAAGAAGAAGAGGAAAAAGATGGGGAAAGTGAAAATGAAGAAGAGGATGCAGAAGACACAGAGGAGGAGGAAGAAGAAAAGGAGGAGGTAGATGGAGAAGGAGACAAAGAAGAGAAAGAAGGAGATGAGGGTGGGGAGAAAGATGACACGGATGGGGTGGAAGAAGAAGAAAAAGAAGACACGGAAGAAGAGGATGAAGACGAGGCAGAAGAGGTAGAAGAAGAGGAGGAAGGTGGGGAGAAAGATGACAGCGAAGAGGAAGAAGAAAATCACAAGGAAGAAGATGAACAAGAGGATGCAGAAGAGGGAGAGAAGGCAGAGGAAAGGGAAGAGGATGAGAAAAAGAACAAGAAAAATAATGAAGACCGGGAAGAAGAGGATGAAGAGGAGAAGGAGGAAAGGGAAGAGGATAAAGAAGAAGAAAGTGAGAAAAACACCAAGAAAGAAGAAGATGAAGAGGATGAAGAAAAGGTTGATGACGACGCCTTGGAGGGGATGCCGGCTGGCGGTCAAGAGAAAAGAAATTCAACTTCAGGTCCGGAAGGAGCACCGAATAAGACGAAAACCGAAGGCACTCAAACGCCTGGCGACAGTGACGGCAGCCCCGCGGCCTTCCACACCACCTCCCCTCTTTTGCTTCTTGTTGTTGCGTGTGCGGCTGCGGCTGCTGCTGCGGTGGTGGCTGCGTGAGAGTGAGTGAGAGAGAGCCATGCACCGCCCGCACACACACTTGTCCTTCTCTCTCTGTGTGTGTCTCCCCTTGCATGGACTCTCGCACTCACCTCACCCCAGGAAGCACACACATAATGTGCCCATTGTATATATGCATGCACACCCATGTAGGCCCGTTGGTGCTCTCTTTTGCACGACACGCACCGCTGCCGTCCTGCCTGGCTGCATGGGCGGAGCACCGTAACTGTTTTGTTTTTATTGCCTTGAGTGGGCGACCTCTCTCTCTCTTTCCCTGTGTGTGTGTTTTGCTTTACGGGAGCAATGAGAGTGTGTGCGCTGGTCGTCCCACGCTTCGGCTTTTTAGTTTGTTTTCTTCCTAATTTTTTTCTTATCTTTTACTCCCTCATCCCTTCTCTTTTTTGCTTTTGGGGGCAATCACTGTGGACGTTTTTTCTTTTCCACTCTTCTTTTTTTTAATTGTTTCTTGCTGCACTCTTCCCGTGAGGGGTGCCGTGTGTTTCCCGCCCAACTGCTCCACTCGCACACCCACCGACACGCTCATGACGACGGCCCTGTGCGCCTCGCCTGCTGCACGCATGAGGAGGGGCCGCGACGAACGGCGCGCTGAGGGAGCCGTGACGTGTGGGCGTGCGACGAGTGCCTGTGGGGCGGAGCACACATTTCTTTCCCTCTTGTTTTGTTTTATTGCGGCCAGGGCGGGCAGACACCCGCAGCGCCACACACACAGCCACACCCTGCCGCCGTGTTTTTTTTGTTTTTGTTTCTTTTTTTTGTGTGTGTGGCTGTGTGTGTTTGCCGCCACCGTGCATTATTGTTGAGGTTGAGGCCGTACCGCATGTATCGCTGCCATCCAGCTGTGCCTCTTGCTGTGCTGATGTGCTTCCCTGTGCTCTTCTTCTTTTTTGCTCCTCCAGCACACACACACACAAAAGTATTTGCACAGTGCTCTGCAGGAATGCTCTTGGCGACGGCGGGGCGTCGAATTGCGTATCCCGTGCTGAAATGGCGAGGCCGTTGCGTGTCTGCCTACGGTGGGATCACGGTGTCATTGTATGGATGCGTGTGGGTCGCTTTTTGCATTTGGTTGGATGCCGTCTGACGCGGCTGCACGATGCCCGCCTTATGTGAGGGTGCTGCCTGCTCTTGGGGTCATTCTTCTCTCCCCTCTGTTTTTGCTCTGCCGGGTGCGTGCGTTGCTCGGTTTGTGCTGACGCGTGACGGACGGTGCCACGATGGCCTCCGCTGACGATGGCAGTCGCTGTGCTCTCGGCACACTTCCACACACACTTCCTTGTTTTTTTGTGGGTGTGATTGCAGTTTGCCAGTGCTGCGAGCGTGATGGGGACCACGACGGCGCCACCCTTCGAGAAGGTCACACTCTCTGTTGGTTGTGGAGGGGCGAGGCGGTTTGACTGCAGCTCGACTGACAGAACCGCACAGTCGTTTCATTGCGGTCACTCCGTCGGCATCACCCGCCGCGGTGGTGCCCGCAAGAGCCGCAGTCCCGATGAAGATGGCCTCGTAGCTGTCGGGCAGCTCAGAACTTCCGGCCATTCGACCTTCAGGATTGTTGTTGCTGCTCGACTGTAGCAGCACCATCCCGGCATGGTTCTTCTGCAGGAGTGCAGGCACGAGAGTGCCCCAGCGACGAGGTTCATTGGCTGCAGTGACCTCCAACAGGCCTGCAGTGGGCGTGCCGGTGGCATGGTCTTCGTGGTGCGCCACATCTTGCCGTGCGAGCGCATGTCGCTGCTGGCAGCAACTGTCTGGAAACCACCGCCTTCCGCGTGTATCCACCGGTCAGCCCCAGCATTTACGCGGTGAACCTCTGCAACCTTCCATCGGCAATTGCTCACACGTTTCACACTTTTCGAGCAACATTCGTCGCTTAGGCCCCGCAGCGGTTGTTTGCGACCCAAATTCGCACCATGAGGTGCGGGACGGTTGCTCACCATCCACGACGGCAGGAGAGGACCTCGCCGCCACCCCAAGCGGCTTGGACTCTGAGCTGTCCGACGACCCGGCACAGGCAACGTGGATCAGCGGCCGCAGCGTCTCGTTTCCCGACGTGACTGCGCAACGCGTACTGCGTCTCTTCCACTGGACGTACACCCGTGTACATGGACTCGGGCCACCATCTGCCATCCCACACTGCAGGGACGGAGGACGACATCCCGCGACAGGCAGGCATGCTGCCACGAAGGAAACATGTCGCTGTTGTCCTGCGTGAAATCGACTGGAATGCATCCACCACGGCGTGCGAAACGCCTCTGGCCGCTGTGACCAAATGCTTGGAGATGCACTGATGCACCGTACGAGCGGCAGCCGTGACAGCCCCACATGTATCTGGACAGACGGAATGGAGCATGCCGAGTGTGTTGCAGCGGCAGCATGGAACGCGCACACTGCCTCAGCAGGAGGCAGCCTGCCCGAGCTGAAGTTGTCCGCAAACGGGAGTACCGCAATCATGCCCTCCGCGGTGGCTTCTCCATGCTGCTAGAGGTCCGTGCGAAACAGCTTGGTGCCCTCTCGAGCCCAGACCTGTGATACCCCGAGGCATGGCGGCACCACGTCCCCGCTCACTGAGATCGGCTGTGCTGCGGCACTCTTGGGACTGTGTCTGTGCACTGCCTTGGCAGTAGGCAGACCGCTCTTCCGTCACACTTTCCGAGTCGCACGTGCTGCGATCCCCACTGCGGTCTGCACACTTGTGCTTGCGTGCTTCCTTGTGACTGGGGTATGGATTGGCCCTTCACGCCGTATGCGCTTGAATTGTCCATCCGCGACTCCTTGCCTGGCTTGACCCCTGGTTCCGGCAGTGTATTGAATGCGTTTCTGCGCCATCTTGTACCCGCTGCCCACTGCTCGCTCAGAAAGATGACCAACACCTCTCTAACGGCAGCCTGCGAAGTTCCTGGGAAATGGAATACACCACTCCCATCCGCAAACACGGGAAGGACGCATCCGCACAGAGAGTTGTCGGCAAATCCCGCTGCTCCCTATGCTGCTAGGGGTGAGCGCAGGAATGGTCCACCGCCGCCTGTCAGCACTGCTGGCACACCACCGATGTCAGCCTGTATCCACGCCACGACGCACGACCCCAGACGTGGTGTCGCCTGTCGGAGACGAAACGGCACGATGGCTGAGCGAGTGCATCGCCGCGGAGTGCGAGCGTTTCGGGTCACTACCGTAAATGTCAAGCGTATCAACGGGCAAAAAACGGACAAAGTACCTCTGCAAGCTCCAATGACAACCATAGCCCTTCAGCGACTCCGCTACTGCAACCACCACCAGCCGCTGAGCCGTCCGACGGTCCACGGGAGGCCCTGCCGCACATGATGTGGGAATTTCTTCATCTTCGACAACTGAGCGTTGGATTATGTGGGAATACCCCCTCTCGCACGATAGCACCGTTCGGGACGGAAAATTAGGCCACGTTTCTACGGACAGTCCTCAGCCTATCAACGAATATTGGCCGCAAAGTATAACAAGAAAATTTTCCTTTTTTTCAGTAGAAAAAAACTTCATCGTTACAGTCACAATTTTCACACAATGAATTCATTGCGTAATGCCGCTCCGAGCTGCAATACTTCCTGGCATCATCCAGGTCCCTTGTCGAAACATTGATGCAGATAGGCGCCCATCCATTCCTCCCAATGACGGTGTATGTCTGCGACGCACCCTCTGCTCCAAAATGACACGTCATTCGCCACAGCCGAGATCAACTTGGCGCTGGCGGCACGCATCGCCTTGTCAGAGGGAGAAAGGGTACGTCAGGGTGACAGCAAAGCACCCGCATGCACAACACATCACAGACATCATCACAAGCAGAAGTAACAGCAGCGCTGGTGGCTGCGGGGTGACGTGGATCAACTGACGCATGGCACGCGTATAGAAAACTTAGTGGCCCGACAAGAATACAAGAGGGTGACACTTTTGAAACAATGAAACAATATGAGAATATAAGAAGAGAAGATTAAAGTGTCCGCTGTCACAGCATGCCGCCGTTCAAAAAGTAAAATGGGTGCACTCAACCACAACAAAAGAAAGCAAGAAGCCGAAGCGTGGGACGACCAGCGCACAAACACTCTCATTGCTCCCGTAAAGCAAAACACACACACAGGGAGGGAGAGAGAGAGGTCGCCCACTCAATGCAATAAAAAAAACAGTTACGGTGCTCCGCCCATGCAGCCAGGCAGGACGGCAGCGGTGCGTGTCGTGCAAAAGAGAGCACCAACGGGCCTGCATGGGTGTGCATGCATATATACAATGGGCACATTATGTGTGTGCTTCGTGGGGTGAGGTGAGGGCGAGAGTCCATGCAAGGGGACACACACACAGAGAGTGAGTGAATGACGAGTGTGTGTGCGGGCGGTGCACGGCTCTCTCTCCCTCACTCTCATGCGGCCACCACCGCAGCAGCAGCCGCACACGCAACAACAAGAAGAAGCAAAAGAGGGGAGGTGGTGTGGGAGAACGCGGTGCTGCCGTCACTGTCGCCAATAGTCGCAGTATTATTTGTTATAGCTGCGGCTTCGACAGTTGATGTTTTCTTTGTATTTACTTCGTTATTTTCAACTTGTGAGGCTTCGTTCATCGTCTCACCATCGTGTTCTTGGTGATGTTTCGGAATCTCTTCTTCATTGCTTTTCTCATCGTCATTTGTAATGGCATCTTTGGAAGCTGAGGGTGATGTTGGAGTTGATTCGGCGTTACTTTCTGTTGGTCCGTCTTTTTTGGTGACTGTGGTGGGGACGGCTTCTTCCTTCCCTGAAGCACTTTCTGACTCCATGTCGTGTTGAGATTCTTCTCTTATCTGTTGCCCTGAAACGACATCTGCAGATGTGGTGTTTTCATTTTTTATTTCTGCCGCTGCTGCAGATGCTGGTGCTTGTAGTGCTGTTGATGATGGCTGTTCTTTGGATGGTGTTTTGTGTAGTTCTGGTCGGGGTAAAACATCATCAGAGCTGGACTGTCCTTCCCCTGGTGTTGCATTTGAAGTTTCTGCTGGTTTTTCTTCTTTTCTCGTTGTTGCTGGTGCTGGTGGTCTTTCTCCTTCTTGCGGCAATGTTAATTTTGGTGTTTCTTCTTCTTCGGTTGTACTTTCTAATTTCTCTTTTTGTACTGTTTTCACCTCTTCTTCCTCTTCTTCTTCTTCTGCTTGCTCTTCTGCTCTGAGTGAGCTTTCAGGTGGTGATGTGACCACAACACTTTGCTGGTTGGTGCTGTTTCCTGTTTGTGCACCCAACGATTCTTTTGCGTTTTCGGGACCTTCCTTGATTGAAGCTGGCATTACCTGCAGTCCAGCACTACCAACATCAGCATCAGGCACTGAACCCCATGAATTTTCAACCTTTTTCTTTTCGGCATCTTCCTCACCATTGGCCGCAGCAGCACCGCACCACAGCACGCAAAGGGCACACACCAGCAGCACACGGCCAGTCATCATCATCGCCATCACTCCTGTCACTTGCGTGTAGCCTTCAGCACAGACTAACAACACGTCAACGCAGAGTGAAAGCAAAAGGGGAGACAAGTCACATAACCACGCACCGTCCCATGCAGCAATGAGAGTCACGCACCACCACAACAATTAGGAGGGCGCGGTTCAACAACAATCAAAATAAAAAGGGAGCACTCCTCGCCCCGTGCACCGTTCCTCACACTCCCACAGTCACTGTTACTGTTATTCCCTCTCCTCAGTCCCTCACAGGCACGCCACGCTCACTTCAACACGCGCCCTCCCAGCACACGTACTTCGTCATGCACTCCCGTTGCGCCGCAACGTCCGCCACCTCCTCCCTCAGTCAAACAGCTCCGTGTCCTCCACGTCCCTCACAGTCGCCGGCACGCCCCGGCCGCGCAACACACACGGCGCCACAACGTCGTGCCACCTCTCCTCCACAATCATGAGCGCAACGCCCAACGCGTACTAGCGCACGTGCTGCATGCGCTGCAACCACACGCGGATCAGGTTGGCCGTCATGCACTGCATCTTGTCGTCCTCCTTGTGCTTGTAGCAGACCCTCACATCCTCTCAATCCACGGCCTGCAGCTGCAAGAGGCTGCCGAGAGGTGCCACTTTCGTGGAAGATCCAAATGTGCGGAAACAACGGCCACCCTCACTCACTCACACCTCCGCTCCCTCCACTCGCCCGCACACACAAGGGCGGTGTCATGGGGAAAAAGAAGCCCGCCGCACAGCGCATGCACAAGGGCACAAACAAAAGCAATGCCATCCACGTCACACCGCAAGATAGTGCCATGCGTACAGCACACACACGGCGGCAAAGAGAGGAACGGGACGCATCCAACTACATACCGCAGTCCTTTACTTCTCCCTTCCCCGACGGATTGGCAGAACGACTCACAGTGAGGCACGGCGCACACCATCCGCTCCCCTCCGTGTGCACTCAGAAGTCCGGCGCACAGTCACCCTCGTGCCATCGCAATGGGGAGCACAAACAACCGTCGTCGCGGAACATCAATGCCTCTAACAGAAAAAAAAAATAAGAAAAAGAAATGAGGGCATGTCAACAGCACAGCCAGCAGAGAGACACTCAACAGGACGCGGAGACACTCAGCGACACTGAAGACAGCAAAAACAAAAAAATAAACCGTAGCGATTTACCAAAAACAAAAGAAAAAAAGGGTGAGAGTCCAGAAGAACTCCCAAACAACATAAAAAAGGAAAATCCATGATTCGGAAAGACGTTTATTTCATGTGCCAAGCAGCACAATACGACCGTGTGTTTGTGTATACATATTGCCCTCAACAATAAAAAGAGGTCAATAAAGGACTTTACTGTCCCACCAGCCCACACAACATCCTCCACATTTCATGCGGCATCCGGCCTGTTCTTCAAATCCTCGTTTCGTGCAGTCCATGGGACGCACAGCCGCAGGGCCGGCACCGCGTGTGGGCAACAAAAAGCAAACAAGAGGGGGAAACACTTCGCTCATTACAGTGTGCAGAAGACAGCCATTAAGTAAGGAAGTCACTGAGGATGCACAGTGGCCCGTCGGCAATGCGTCCGGCACAGCTCTCCGCCCTTCATCACCGCACGGTGGCAGCGGCACACACACAGCCACAGAAAAGAAAAACACGGCGGCAGGGTGTGGCTGTGTGTGTGTGGCGCTGCGGGTGTCTGCCCGCCCTGGCCGCAAAAAAGAAAACAAGAGGGAAAGAAATGTGTGCTCCGCCCCACAGGCCCTCGTCGCACGCCCACACGTCACGGCTCCCTCAGCGCGCCGTTCGTCGCGGCCCCTCCTCATGCGTGCAGCAGGCGAGGCGCACAGGGCCGTCGTCATGAGCGTGTCGGTGGGTGTGCGAGTGGAGCAGTTGGGCGGGAAACACACAGCACCCCTCACAGGAAGAGCGCAGCAAGAAACAATTAAAAGAGGGAAGAGTAGAAAAGAAGCAAAAAGTAAAATGAATTTAAAATAAGCAAAAAGGAAGAAGAAAAATAGTTGTCAGAAATATTCATTGCCAGGTGTGTGTGTGTGTCGGTGCAGCGGAGGTCGCAAGTGTTCCACGCGGCAGCCAGTCACTCCTCACAGCGCCGCAAACCCCCACAGTCCCAACAGAAGCAGCAATGGCAGCAATATACTGCACTCACACACAGTGCCGGCATCGCTGTTATTCCCCTGCGACACATTTCCGAGGCTGCTGCTGAGTGCCGCAGCATTTACTTCCCCGAACTGTGTAATAACCTCCTCCTCCTGCACATCCGTTCCTCCCGCCTTCTCCCCATTCGCAATACTGCTCTCCAATAACGGTTCCTTTCCCGCCTGCTGTTGTCGTCCAGCAGTAGACGAGGACATGGTTCCTTCAATAGTCGTGTTCACCAGAGATGGGATAAAGGCCTTATTCGGGTTGAGGGCGTCAATCTCAGTGCTATCCAACGGGCAGTTGTACAGAAGGACGTTCGTCACAGTCACAGAAACGCCTTCTCCGTTCCCTGTGCTCACTGTGCTGCGTCCATCCTCTCCAATGTAGAAGTGCGATATCTCTTTCGAATCCTTATTTCCCAGTGCACACGGCACATCCCCACCCACACGCTTACCATCGACGTACGCGAAGCCCTGGGTGCCGTTCCTTAACAAAATTACCACGTGTTGAGTTTTCTCTTTCTCCCAAGTGTTGCTGTGCTCCTTAGGGGTTTCGTCACCGGACAGCAACTGCCACTTCTTTTCCTTGCCGTACGAGAGTCCCAAAAATACAGAATTCCCTGCACCTGTCATCTTCGCACCCAAAAAAGGAATGGGGGTATCTTCCTCTGGCTCACCGTGGACGGACACCGTCGCCACAAGAGTGAACTTGTAGTTCGCGAAGTGGTACAGCTGATTCTCCCCCTGCCTGCCAACAGGCCACTCCGCCCACGCTCCCTGGAACGTCACACCATCGGAAGCCTTTGTTGCCCCACCTTTATTATTTACTGTTGCGTTCACCCCGAGGTACTCGTCCCTCCATGTGTTCTCAGAGAAGTTGCCGGACAAAAAGCCAACCAGCCCATCCGTGATCTTAAAAGTACTGCGGCAGGCACTGTCAGTTAAGGTATCCTTCCCAACACTCTCAGAGGTGCACAGCTTGGAGACACGTTCGTCCACATTCTTCCACGCCTTGAGCACCTCCTTCACCTTCTCCAGCTGCGCAGTCAGACGCACAGAGACCATTCCGTGTGATGTATCATCACCGCTCTCCTTCTTCTCGTACAGTGCAATCAACTTCTCCTCATTATTATCTCCACTTTCAGCACTTTTGTACAACAGGGAGCTGGCGGCGACGTCCTCTTCCTTCCCGGATACCGGCCCAATATCAGCAATGTGCGTATTGTCCGACAGCCAAAGATGGAGACTGCCCTTTTCTTTTTCTTTCTCATTGACTTCGTTACCTTTTTTACCAGAATACACCGGCAGAGTAACAAGCATCACTTTTCTCTTTCCACCATCGCCAAGAGTCGCTGTGATGAACCCGCTCCCAACGCGTTTCATCTGTGCCTTTGGATTGCCCCACACGCGCGAGAGTGTCCCGAGGGCCTCCGTCCACGAGTCCCCCTTGTCACCGGACTCGTACACCCTGCGGCGGCCATCATCACACGCAGTCATCATCATGGGTTTGTCCTTCTCCCACTCCACGACGGAGGGATCACTGCAGCCACCGGCAGACATCCCATTCGACAGCTTCCAACTCTTAGTATCCTTCAAGTGTAGGATCAGCGAGACAGTCTTTCCATCCTTTTCGTTGCCATCACCCTGGTTCGTCTTCTTCTTCGTCCCTTCCAGCGGAAACACAAGCGTACCGTCCTCCATCTGAACACCCGATCCACCGCTGCCAACCAGCTTTTTCAAGGGTTCATTTTGATTGCCCTTATAATTCCACGGGATAGCGTAAGTGTCATTCAAAAAAATTCTTTTTTTACTGTCAACACTACTGACGTTCCCTTTCACCAGCATGAGTCCCCAGACTCCTGCCTGATCATCAGAGACACCCTCGAAACTCTAATTTCCAGCAATCATGTAAATATCACTTCCCCGCACGACTGTTGTTGGTCGGCTCACATGTACTGTCGTCTGGCTTTGGGAATCAACCCGATTCGCTAGACGGCAGGCGCATTTCTCATCATCGGAAGAACATTCCTCCAGTACTTGTGTCTTCAATTTTGTTTTATCCAACTCCTCTTTTGCTTCTTCACCAGTCAACGCCAGGAGCTCCGAGGCAATCCCAGTAAAAAGGCATTCATCATTACTGCACTGCGCCTCGGCAACGGCAAACACATCACTCCCCACTTTCAAAAGACTGGGAACACGGAGCGAATTCACTGTTTCTCCATCTTTCTTATCTCTCCAAACAAAACGTTTACCCCTTGAACATTCCGGGGATGACGCTTCACCAGCGGGCGCAGCTCCACAGGTGGCGCAGCACATCATCACGACGACGAGAAGCAGCACCGCGGAAATAAACAAACGCCAGAACATGTTGGGCCTCTGCGGCTCACTCTCTCCTCCTTCCCTCCTCCTTCCGCTGGATCCGGTCACGCAGCGACGGTTGTGTGTGCGGGGGTGCCTTCACTGCAGCAACACGTGAGTGCATGTAAATATGTGTGTGGGCGGTGTGTGTGCTGTTGGTCCTTTCAGAGACGTCAAATTCCACAGTAGCGATTCGCGTTTGGTATTAACTTCCTTCGTAGCCTGAGTGTGTTTGTGTGCAAGAAATCAAAGTAAAATCTAAAAAGCACCAAAACAGGACGTGGCAGAGGAGTGGGTGACGCCACCATCCACAGTGTAACACATCCGCTTCGTCGTGACCGCCACAGTAATTACTCTCACCGTCCACAACAGCCCAAGCACTGTGAGGCCACACACAGAAGCAGAGTCATTGACGGTTGCGCACGGGCCAAGACGCCCTCCGGCAAACAGCACCAACCAACAGACAGCCAGCAGAAATTAAAGGCGAGC